GCATCGTGTACCGCAAGCAAGTAAAGCACCCAGGACTGAGACTGGTCCGCCCAACTGTTGTTGCCCATGGAGGAGGGCGTGTTGTAACACACCGTGCAAGCGGGTGGCCGCGGTGCAGCAAACACTACTGTATCTGCTGTTCGTTTTCGATGACAGGTCGCTGGACAAGAAGTTCGACTCTCCTGTACCGAGCGGTTATAATCCCCCGGCATGACGCCGATCGATATCATGATGCCAATGCCACGCACGGCTGTAAGCCGTAAGCGTGTATTCAACAATGGCATCCTGTTGGTGTTGATACCGATGTGGTGGTTGTTGCCATGCCGTTTTTGCCTTCGCATACAACAGAGTTATTCCCTTGGTTGTGCCCTACGCTTTTTTCTGTAGAAGCACCATTCGCGCGCTGTCAATAAGTACGCGTGGACCGGCATGGGCACATCGTGGCTTTTTTTTTTTCTTTCAACGCGCGTGCGTGCGTGTACTGCACAACGAGCGTATTCTAGTGCAGACCGAAGAGAGCCGGCAAGGCTTATTGTCCAGGATTCAATTGTAGCCACCCCCCCCCCCTCCACTTTTTCACTTTCCAGGGACCCCCCGTTCATGCCTAAATGTCCAACACAACGTTTCGCCTCTCGCCCTAGAACCTGTACGGATTCGAGTTCGAGTTGACCCCCCCCCCCCCCCGAACCAACTACGCCGCGATTACAAGCAGATTTGCACGGCATCGGAGTTTTTCAAAGGTTCCTTCTCGCAGGATCTCAACGTGGGAAAGGACGAAGGCCGGCCAACGGCGTCCGCGAAGACATCGCTGTTGGGTTATCAATACCCCGACACATCGGAGGAGACGGCGGCGGCGGAGGCCTCCAGCCGCACCGTGGGGTGGTCCTTGCTGCAGTCAATGGCGGTGTGCGCGAGCGTGACCACCCTGGGGCTCTTCGCGGGGTTTCGGATGGGATCGAGGCGCGGGTACGTGCCCAAGCCGGCACTTTTCCCGCTCCTGTGACCTGCGCGGCTATTTAATTTAGCGTTTTATCTAAATTTTTGCGTATGTATGAGGAACGAACGATCGACGGACATTTTTTTTTTTTTCTTGTTCCGTCTCGAAGAAGCATCATCGGGCGCTTGAAGAAAATGTGGTGCTTGCGGGATACCGAAATCGCCGTGCTTTCTCTTTGCACGCAAGAAGAAACGCCTTGTCTGTCTGCTCTCTGTGTGTAGCTTTGCGTGCATTCAACAAGAATCATAAAGTTCAAGCCGCAGTTCAACGCGACGCTCTTGATGATCCCACTCGTTCACCAGCATGTATGTGAGTTGTGCAGGATGGTTGCTGGTTTTGGGGGTGGGATGTGCTTCTTGCAGTCGTCGATGCCGTCGCCGTCGATGCCCACGGCGGGGGGCCGGCGCATGGGGGTGACCCTTTCTTTGCCATATTTGCTGTGCGTATTGGGAACAACTGCGTTGATGTTGCGGCCGAGCGTGTGCATTAGGCGCAGTGTGCCTGTGTTTGGGAAACCAGACGCTTTCTGAATTCCATTTACGTATACCATGTAATCTATGCATGTATATGATGCATAGGACAAAACACACCGCCAAGTCGCAATTTTCACTTGTTGTACGTTGAACCAGAAGACTTCCACGACATTCATTACTCACCAGCGTGGGGCCTGTTTTGGGGTAGGGTTAAGCTTTTTGTCGCGACAATTTTTACATCTTCTTTGCCAGTGTTCCTGCGTTTACATTTTTTTTGCTCAATCTAAGGCTTACGTATCCGTGAAGAATGAGTTTGAATTCATCGCTGGTGGTCTCGATGTTGCTTGGCTGTTTTTTTTCTTTAAGCGGTCGTCCCGTGATCGTCGTGGTATCTATCTTTTAGACCGCCCGTGATTGCTGGGTGAGCGGCGTCTCACCACGTGAAGGGGCGTGGTGGACAAGGTCGGGGCAATACTTCATGCTGGCGTTCATGATCTTTGCTGGTGGTTTCGCTTGGTTGGTTGTAGTCCCTGACGGTTTTGCTGTGTGGATTCGGATCTTCTTGCCCCGTTAGGGCGTGAGTATGGGTTGCCCTGGTCTTGTGTGGACTCGACACTCGACCCGATGTTCACTCCCGGTCTGCGAGGGCATGTTCTTGTCTGGGTTTGTTTGTTGCTGTCTTTACAGCGGAGCTCCTACAAAACGTCATGGTCAGTTTGCGGTAGAGATGGGGCAATCCGCATCCAGCTACACTACCTTTGTTGGAGTGGGGTGGGGTTTTCTTTGTCGACCTTTTCCTTCTTGTTCTGAACGACAATGTGGTCTAGTCATTCGTTGTAGGATCTTGAACCTTGGTTTCTTCGCGAAAGGTACTGTGGTATAGGTCTATTTGATCTACAAATTAATTATCTCGATTCTTCCTTGTGTTTCTCTTTCCCTTTCTTTCAAGTTTAGTTTTATCCTCGATTTTCATCTACAAATCGGATTACTTCGGTGTATGTTGTGTAATGACGCATTGCATCAGCTAGTCATGGAAATTGAATGTCGTTGCTTTTGCAGAGTGGGGCGGACGGACATACAGTACCTCGTGAGCTCTGGTAGGGTCTCCTACGATGCACATTTTATGAAGCTGCATGCAGGCTGCTGATAAAGGTCCTCGAGGGATCTGTGCGGGCCCAATATAGGGTACAACCGCAGCGGTAGGTTGTCCTGGTTGGAACAAGACAAACAGTAAATGAGTGCGAGAGGAGTCCGTGCCAACAGCCAACAGCGGTGTGCATACGTCGTAGCAAGCACTACTACAGCAGTAGTGTATCTGAGCAGGATACTTCATTCATGGTTTTATTTCTACATAAATGATGGCCTCTTTTTGGGTTCCCGGATATCCTGCCTAGACTAACTGCTGAAACAACACGAACAGACTCAAAGTCTCGTCGAACACGTGCCTCAAGCAGCAGTGCGTTGCAGGGTGTTCAAATTTTTTTCACACAAGAGGGCAGCAAGTGGTTCCGGAATTATGCTGGTTCGGGGAGTGAATTCACCAAGTTCAGACGTCACCACATCTTCATGCTTTTTCCTCAGATTTCGACCCTGAAGAATTACACACGTCCACTAACTACGTGGGAAGAGTATAGTTGGTCCATTTCGTTACTGGCGGTTTAATGACATATTCTATGTCCCACGTCGTTTGGATATCCGACGTGGATGTGGAAGGGAGTATCTTGCTTCGTCAACCCTGTGGTCATCATGTTTTCCCGCGAAAACCTCTCGTTGAACACGATGGGGGGGGGGGGGGGGGGTGTACTCATAGTCGTGCATGCCGGAGTCGTTAGACCATTGACCTCGCATCCCTACAAAGCCGGGACGGAGCACGCCGGGTTCTCACCGGACCAGGCTCTCACATCACCAAGCGCGAAGCGCCGTGAGGTATTTGGCGAGTCGCATGAAGGGTGGGCTGCATCCTGCTAAGGGTGTTCGGCATCTTGTGCTTACGTGCTTGCGTACGGATGACAGCTGCGTATGACTTATTTTATTTTCTGGTGCTTTCACTTCCAGAGACAGTTGTAAGCACTGTGTAACTGCCTCGAGGATGCTTGACCATTTTGACACAACGTGGTGCGATCATCCCCCGTTGCGCGGAGTGAGGGTTCTTCACCCCGCACAACATGATCTACTCGACCACCATTATGGTTACCGCAAAAAAAAAAAACCAGAGGTAAAAAAAACGGTAACCTGGTTGCCGAGTTCACGAAGTGAATTGACTTGTTTTACAACGTCGTTGCCAAGCGACGAAAACCCAATCCCGATGGCAAGCACCGAGGGGGCGGCTGGTTTTACAACGTCGTTGCCAAGTGACGAAAACCCAATCCCGACGGCAAACACCGGAAGGGGGGGGGGGGGGGGTTTAACTGGCGAGGCCAGCTCTTTTTTGCCTGGTACCAACCTCTGGACGAAAAATGTGACGCCCGACCTCGCCGTCGGCTGCTTGCCGTGGGACGTTGTCTTTCGCCGCGTCAGTTAGTTCGGTTCCACGGGAAAGAATGGTCTATATGGAGGAAGCGTGCAGTGTTCGTCGGCCGTAATATTTTTTTTTTTTCTCCCATCGGTGTGGGTGTCATTTGGCAAGCATGCACATTCCTTCCCATGTACGTGGTACCACCACGGTCGCTCCGTCCGGTGGTGTGCAAAGCAGTATTTGACCTCGCAAACTTTCGGTGCAGCAGAAGCAGTTACTGTTGTGAGTGCCTTTTCCGGAGTGAAACAACAAACAACAAGCGTTCTGCAATTTGCGGTCGAAAACGAGCGTCTGTCGCTCGTTCCCGTTCGTATCGCGTCACCCCACCTTTCGTGTGCACCCCGGGTACCGGTGCATTTCACGTGGGGAGGTTGTTTGTTGACCAATCGGTTGCCTCAACTCCCCGTACAGTGTGAGGTGCTTCCGCTTTGCTGCTGACTAAGCCGCTGATTGTGAGCGTCCAATCTCATTCGCCAAGCAAGCACCCTACACATCACCAAAAACCCACCATGACTGCTGGCGTCTTCTGCGCTTGCCACAAGGACCGCAGAAAAGAAGACGACGAACGACCCCCATATACCTTCGACAAGAACAGGTTATTTCTCTGTGCAACCACGTAACCAGACTCGAATGAGTCCCGTGCCCAGCAGGGCCTTACAACTACTGTAAAAGACTGCAACGCATCCACTTCGACCGACCCACCGGGGCATATAATCTCGAACAGGTGCTAGAACTAGAGTTCCCTCACGGTTGTCCGTATGTAGACTATGGATGTAGGCAAAAAAACTTCGAAAATATATGGAGGACAGCACCGACAGCACGCACCACAGCCACCACCACGACCTTCCTTCACTCGTAACATTACGACGACTAAGGATCATCGTTACACGCCGCACCCAAAGAGACGACAAATGCCGCATCCTAGCGTAACCCTCTGTACACGCAGCCCGCACATACATAAATAGCTCTATCCTATTATTTAGGCAACTCTACTCTACAGATTGGTGCCAACACTCTACGGCGGCACCGCTCGCTCTTGCTTGAAGGTGACATGCGCGTTGACTAGCCTCCACCCCCAGGATTTCTCGTCTCGTTCAACCTCTAGAGCCGGGTAGTTCGACACCTTTTTTTCCGGGGGTGTAGCAGAGGGCAGAGCAAGTAGAGAAACGTTGTAAGGCAATTAATTCATGTTGTAAGCACGAAAATACGCACTCCACAGCAGTTTACGCTTGCACAGCAGCATCGTTTCTCACGCACTGGTACGTAGAAGGTCAGGACGATCGCTGAAAAGTGGTGCGTCTGCTGCGAACCAGTGTCTGCTGGGCAAAATAGAAAACACTCACACAGAACTGGGAGTTCTGCTTCATCGAACCAAAAATACGAAACCACGGCTGGTTGTTCGTGCGTATACCATTCGTCGTTTACTTAAAGAAATGTTATTTTGTCCGTCCTGTTCGGACAGAGGAATGGGAACAGCGTCAACAGAGCAAGCGTCAAACGTGTAGGATAACTCGTGTCGGTTTTCCTTTCTAGCGGTGGGGAAGTTCATCCTTCCCTTCTTCAAGAGCCCGAGAAAAACAAGAAGGCCGGAAATCGACAGGGGGGGATGATGGAGGAGAGAGCCGGACCACACAGGCCACAAAGTGGAAATCACCTAAGCCCACCGGGGGATAAACCCGTTTGGGTTCTCAAAACATGGCAGAGGTTCATAGTACCGATTGATGTCGTTCGAGTTTTGGGAGAGGGCAGGTGTGGAGGAGTGGGTGGCGGCGGCGAGAAAATGATGTTGGAGCACAGACCACAACAAGGAGAGCAACACAGACGTCAACAATACACCACAAACCGACCTAGATCAGCAACCACTACATCAATGTCAACACCATCCACAACAGCAACAACAACAACAGCAGCAGGCCATGAAGTCCACCGCACCTTGACGAAGCGGTGGTTGTCCTCGAAGTGCCACACGAGCCCGTCCTGGTGGAACCCTGCGTCGGTGTAGGTGAAGTCCCGGTGGAACTCGCAGCGGACGGCCAGAAGCGGCGGCGGCGGCACCGCGGACGACACGTGCCCCGGAAAGCTCATCTTCCAAAAGTAAGGGTTAGGTTAGAATAGCAACGACGACGCGCGAAGCCTTCAGTTTTGCAACTCCTCATTCCACAAGGGCAACCCTACCTCGACCATTTCACCCTCGAATCGTATGCTTGTGTGTTTGGCGCGTGGTCTGGTGTTGGTCCGACACAAGCTTGCGGCCACCCCACTTTCGAGGGCCACCATTGCATGTCGGTGTCCGCAGCTGTTCTTGAGGAGCTCCCGCCACTTTTCGGTAGCTGCTCTTCGGCCACATAAATTAGAAGTGGTACGATAAGCCCACCAACAACGAACGCTGTTATTTTGTAGGTTGTAGTGGCCATGCTCAGCGATCTCGAGAAGGTGCATGACCGGCGTGATGTATGTTGGGGCCATCTCGCTGTTGGTTTCTCTCTCTCTATCGCTTTCTCTCTCGCTCGCTCGCTCGCTCGCTCTCTATGCCTCTCTGTGTATCCCTCTCTCTTTCAACCAAGCCGGCACATTGAACAAACTCATTTGCTCTCCCGCACACACGAAATTCCCCCCGAGTGTCCATGGATAATTTTTGGCAGAGCACAGCCTAAAGAGAGCGGGGTCGGGTTGAACTAGCAGAAGCCTCCATTCTCCCTGCATCTCTACATTACCACAAACAAGTCGTCGCTGCTCTCGTCACGCGTTCTCGATGGCGAACTTCCCCCATCACATCACTCGTTCTCTGGCATCCCCCTCTCTTGTGCAGTACCATGACAGCCGTCCTTGTAACGCAGGGGTGCGAGACTTACGCATGCAACCCACGTGCAAATACGGGACAACAAGAAATCCCCGGAGCTTTGTCTAGTTGGCTCGCCTGGTCGACGTAACGCGAACACCTTCATTATGAAGGCCCCGTCTGCCTTTGGAAGCCCGGGTCTATCGTGTTGAACTCTGGCCTTCAATGACAGCGAGTACACGAACACATCCAGACTCCAGAAAAGGAAACGTGGGGAAGGGGTCCTTGCCTTGAAGAAACCCCGACTGAACAACAACTGAACTATAACAACAACTGAACTATAACAAAAAACTGAACTAGAACAACAACTGAACTATAACAACAAACTGAACTATAACAACAAACTGAACTATAACAACAAACTGAACTATAACAACAACTGAACTATGACAAAGATTTCGTGATTGTCACAGCGTTATCTAGTTTGTGAAATCTACTCCAGGCGAAAGTAAGCCAAACTCTAAAGTGGGGCTACATCCCACTCACCATCCAGGGCGTTCTTGCCAGGTCCTCCATGGTCATCCACTGCCGCTTGGCGTCCTTGTAGGAGAAGTGGAAGCTCCACCGCCAGCCCCTCACCCGCGAGAGCCACGCCGGCAGCTGTCCCTTCTGCCTCAAGAGGCCGTCCCTGGACAGCAGCATCGATCCCATAATCAGCGACACGCACTCATCCTGCCCCGCATCGCAGCGGGGGGGAGGGGGTCCGCAGAAGACAAGACGTAGGTTGGGGGGGGGGTGCCGCAGATGAGAGACGAGCCCACGGCAGGAAAGCGAGGCGCACGTAAACCCAGCAGGATATAACAGCAGTTTCGACGCTCCGGCACGAATAGAGAGACTGTACACGAATGGAGCGGTGAGCAGCCGTAGCGAGGAGCCGGACAGAGGCAACCGTGTTTTTTTCACGGTCGGCACTTTATAGGGGGTTTTGTAGGCCGCTGTCTTTTTTGCGGAGCCCCTTTCACGCTCGACCGGCACCGGCGTGGCTAGCACCCACACAACACATAGAATAATCCCTTGGTCCCACACAAACATAATACTATGTTTCCTTCTTGGTAAAGGGCTTCCGAAACGGCAGAGAGACACTGCCTGTCGCCCTGACAGAAATCCAACAACCAACAGCACCAGGCAATCGCTCGGTCAACAGAAGATGTTAAGTGATCTAGAAATGGCCACGATTGAACCCCGCCCCCCCCTCGCGAACCGCAACTTTTTGTGTGTTGTTGTCGTGATCACGTGGATTCTATCGCCCGCTATCGCCCATCTCTACCCAACTGGAGCCCTCGTGGACGCGTAGCTAAGATTAGCTTTGCAAGGCTCGCGTGAGGTGCTAACACTAAACCCACGTGCGATGCCATTTATTATTTGGGTGTGTGCCCCCCCGTCAACGTGAAGGGCGATTTCAGAAAGAAGACGGAAAAAAGAAGCCGTGGGTTTTGTTAGTATTATAGTCCAACATCGCCACAAAGGCGGGACGAAATCTGATGGTACCATCGCCACACAACCGCTTCGTAGCGAGAGACATCCTCAACCAGAACGGGAAAAGACTGTGAGAACCGTATTAGTGTTAATGTGGTTGGTGGCGTGGGTATGTAGCAGTTGTCCTCATTCGACCATGACCCCGATCAAGCACGAAGGTTCGGCTAGACGATAAAAGCTTGACCAGCAGTTCAGCCTTCATCAGCTTCACTTCAATACCGGATTGCTATAATCGGACGATGCAAAGCCTTGGCTCTCTTTTGGCACAGCGCATGTGACGTCTTGCGAGCGATTCATCAATCCCAGGCAACCGAAAAAAATCGCGCAAGAAAGCAACAGATCACCTTTTCCAGGCAGGCCGCAAGCCTGGCGGGGTTCGCCCCCAGCTCGTGGAGGCGTCTCTTCATGACCTTGATCGGCATCGCGGCCACGAGCTCCTCAAGGCCACCGCTAAGGCTTCGGGCAAGCTCGATGGGCTGCAACTGCTGCTGCCGCTGCTGCTGCTCTTCCGATGTCTCTCCCTCATCTCCATCCTCCGACTGCTCCCGCTGCTGCTGGTAGAAGTGGTGGCAGTCTTCCAGGAGACCTGTTACGGTTGTTCGTTTGCGGTATACATAGAGGGGCGCGCGCGGGGGGTGGTCTGAGATCCCGCATAGACCCTCTACAGCCGGGCTAGGTCACGTTGGGTGTGTTCTTTCACCGGCCATGTTTGGCATTGGCTGACACCAACAGGCGCGAGAAATCACCCTCGGGGCGCTCCCCAAAGGTCAAATCTATAGTGAAGGCGGTGGGCTGTGTACTGCATTTCAAGCAACAAGAACAGGCCACCACGAGACAGAGACGACCGGTTGTCTGGCAGCAAGAGAAAGCTTCGAACGACGTCATGCTTGGTGTTTCCTGAAAGATAGGTATGTACTTTTTCGAGAGAAGGCGGTGGGGACGCAAAAAAACATACCAGTATAGGTTTTCGTTTAGAGCCGTTGTTCGATACTTTTGCAGCAACAACAACCTCAGGGTCCCGACTTCCGACGCTACACAAGGATCTGACCAAAAATGAGCACGTGCTTAGATCCGGATTGCCCATGTTCGCCCTGTTCACAGCCCGAAGGGAAGGCACGTGACACCAAGTAGGACGGGCAACAACAAGCTTCTTGCACAGCTAAGCGATTGATTGAGTTGGCACCCCGGTGACCGTCTTCAAAACGCACGCCGTTCTTCTCTTCTCCTGTCTCGGGTTCTTCGGCGAAATACTACAGGTTCTGACGGGAGCAAGCAGCTTTAACGTTCCGTACCCCGTATGTATCATACCGTTTCGTCAACTCAACCACCAGCGAGTGAAAATCAAGAATGAAGCCGCTGCCCTGCTCGGACACTACGACACCCAGCAGCATGAACACCCACCCACAGCAGAGTCGCGTTACACGAACACTGCCGTATACGGAAGCTCGCGTGCGGCTCGGTCGCCGTCACAATGTACCGTATAGCCGCAAGAAAAAATAACAACCACACCACATCGTCGCGGTGAGCATCGAAGGCAGGAGAGGGGTCGTGGGTAGGGACCCTCATGGAGACGACCCCACAGGTGCGACCGCGGATTGGAGTTACTTCCTGGAGTACCGGCCAGAAATGCTGTGTGTGAGCACCGGCTTGGAGTGATGAGTAAACAACAGAAGACATCAACGCGATCTATGTATGTTACACAGATGGCGGTGGAATACTGCTGTACTGTAACAAGCGGCGGGGAGGAACGTCCGCCAAAGTCCGCAAAAAAAAACAAAAAAAAAACGAGGGCGGGCGTGCTTGCTGGTGGTGGGCCAGGCACCCTAACCCCGTGCCGTGAGAAGAGGGCTCGGGCGTGGACGCCGCACAAGCCGTTGTCGGCGGTAGCGGTGGCACTAACGCTAGGTTTGTACTTGGTTGGAGGGTGGTAGCACAGCAGATTCAAATATTCAACCTGGTGGTGCTCGTTGATGGAGTACACACATAGCTGCTGTGGCCGTCGTGCAGGAAAGGGAATGTCGTCGACCGATGGTCCATGTAGTGCCGCATCAAGATCGGGTAGACGAGCCGATGCGTCCGCCGCCCGCGAACAACGGAGCCCCGACCGTATGTACCATGTCGCGATACACAACCGGCAGCGGCGTGCATACAACCATACTGCGACGGGTTCACTATTTCTTCTGCTTTCAGAGCAAGAAGTGCTGCTGGTGAATCGTTCAGCTAGCTCCACGTGTCTCACGGAGGAATTCGCAGTGTGTCTACGATAGCAAGCCTCGCGCCAGATGAGGGAGTAAGTTTCCTGGAATCAGCGAGCGCCCGTGCGATTTTCGAACGTCCCCCGTGCTCAAATTAGCACCATGGCACCTGGGATCAGGTGAAGAATCACTTCCTCGCTTCTCTCTCATGTCGTTATTTTCCCGCACCTCCGTGCCAACGCAAAGTTGTGGGTGCCATGTCTTGTGTACCCTCCTGCCCACCCAAGCACGCTCTTTTCGTAGCACGTCCATTATTGTACACACGACCACTTCTGCCATAGAGGGGATACACACCTAGTCTACATGCAGGCACCCGACGGTACGTACGGTAAGGAGTGTAGATGCCGACATAACTGCTCACAGGTACCCGAAGCCTTTCCATCAACAGTGGAGGGAGAGCGAGGGCGCACGTGTTGCCTAAAACTTTGGCACTCACTTGACCATTGCCTAGGCATCTATGCCAGGCCCAACAAACACAATTTCTCTCCTCATCCTTTTCTTGGCCTGGGGCGGGCGAAGAGGCCACACACACACACACAACCGGGAGATTCTTTAATAGCGGAACATACTTTCTGTGTGAAACGCGCCTTTCGGCGTTTGTGTCGACATGAAACTCCATTTGGACCGGTGAGTCTGTCTATACAACCCAACGCTAACCTGCAGCCCATGTTTGCCGAAAAGCGTAGATAGATGCGGCAACGCATGGGGGGTTAACTGCTGTTGGCGTATGTATGTAACTGCTTGCCATCTTTAGCTTGGCTGTTCTCCCGACACACACACGTATGCGCGCGTTTCAAACACCGGAGGTCTGTTTTTTCGTGTGAACGTGGATTGCCGTGACACAGCAGCATCAGCAGCGCATCTTTCGTCGTTTTCTCGAGTTTTCGAAAAAAGCACGGCACCGTTTCAGCATACGCCCTCCGACGACAAGAAACCGCTGCTCGCAACGCAACAAACGCCAGTTTCCAACCGTCATCTCTTGTGCATCCTCCTGCCAACCCTAGCACGCTCGTTTCGCAGAACGTCCGTATGTACACGAGACCACCGCGGTCTTGGAGGGGATTCGCACCTACATGCGCTGCTGTACAGACGGCGGTACGTACGCAAAGTGAGGATTGTAGGTGCCGTTCACATTTAGTTGCTCACAGGTATGTATCCGAAGTACCTCCACCAACAGCAGTGGTGGATGGAGGCAGGGCGAGAGGGCTCGTTGCCAGCCACTTCACCATTGCCTAAGCATCTATGCCAGGCCCAACCATACAAAGTTCTCTCCTATATCATCCCTTTCTCCGGGTGGGGGTGACGAAGAGGCCACAAACACACACAACCTGGTACACAACCTATGGCCGCAGAACCGACAGTGCTTGTCTGTGACACGCCTTTCGACGTTTTTGTCGAGACGATCCATTTGGTCCGGAAAGTCTGTCTATACAACCCAACGCTAACCGCCAGCCCGTGTTGGCTGAAATGCGTAGATATATGTGACAACACAAGGGGGACTTCAACTTTTGGCGTTATGTGTAACTGCTTTACACGCTTACTGGTGTTCTCCACACAAAACACACACACACGTATGCGTACGTTTCAACAACCGCAGGTCCGTTTTCTGTGAACAACGTGGATTGCCGTGACACAGCAGCAGCAGCAGCAGCGCATCTTTCGTCGTCTTCTCAAGTTTTCGAAAAAGCATGACGCAAGTTCAGCATGCCCTCCGACGACAAGAAAACCGCTGCTCGCAGCGAAAGAAACGCCAGATTCCAAAACTGCTGTATTTGGCTGCCACCCTGTGAGCTAGAAAACTGCTTTCATATTGTAGGTCCATGTGTCATCATGCGTCCGCAACAGAACAAAAACACAAATCTTCTCCTTCTCAACGCAAAAAACTCAAAAACCACGCCGGGCCTCACAACGCACCTACGTGCTTGCCGACCCAGCGCCTCAGACAGAGATCCTTCCAAAGTTGCTCGTCGACGGCAGCATCCCTCCAGGCCCGGCAAGCACCGCTCGCCCTTTGCAGGCACCCGGCGCCCAGGAAGCCAAAGATGCAGGAGCGGAGTATCTCTGTTGGGAAACGAGCGGGGGGCCCCCAGTGTCGGCTTCTCCTTCGGACCAAGGCCTCTGACGCACGACCTGACGCTCGTCGTTGCGGTGATACGACCTCTACGGCGAAGGGGTTGGGAGTGGTGGCGGCGGTGGGGATGGCGGCGGTGGGTCTTGGGCAACATGGACACTGCGTGCGTGTTGTGGGCGAGCTGGTGCTGCTGCTTGAAACGGTCAAGATTTCCGGTGCTGCCGCTGCCCCTGCTGCTGGTACAGCCGACGCCGCCGCCGCCGCCGCCGCAGCAGCAGCAGCCTCGTTCTTATTCCAAGCCTCCCCGATGAGCCCCCCGTCTCTTTTCTTGACAGCAGCGGTGTGCGTTCCTCGTTCCTGGAAGCGACTGCTACAACCCCCCATGATCTCAAGGGAGGTAGGTTGGCAGCGTTGCAGGTGAGGAACGGGATGGATGCAACAACAAAGCAATTTTGTTCTTTTCCCACAACCTCCGCCACTCCTGACTCTCCTGCTGATCCCGGTGAAGGTCCCTATTAACGAAGCGCCCGCGACGAAAGGAGGAGAAGGGGCTTGCGACAGGGGATGGCAGTGACGCTCTGAAGGGTGACGTAGACAGCAGTACGCCAGGCCCGCCGGTCTCCGCCACTCTAATTTTGTGTGTCATGCACACGTTGAACATTGAACACAGAACACATGACTGTTGATGACTGCTTGTGGGGGCTCCGTGGTTTTCCGTTACCATACCCAATATTCATACACGGCGCCCCTGCGCCCTGCTTCGTCTGTTGCTGCTCGCCGGCTCCAGAGGCTGCCCTCGACTGTTGGTCTACAACAGTCTCGTGCGCTGCTGTGCTGAAGCATGCCCTCCCCCGCAACACTCGGCACGAATCCTGCAGTTTTAGACGGCGTGGAGGTATTTGATCGACCGACGACAGCCAAGTCGGTCGCGAGCCAAAAGAGCGGCTCGGTCCCCCCCCCTGCGGCAACAAACCGCCGAGGAGGAGCAAATCCTGCTGCTGCTGCTGCGGTCACCGCTGAGGGAGCGCCCATGTCGGACGCGGGCGCAGCGATGGGTAGGAGCGATAATAGCGGTAGGGGGGGGGTAGCAGCACCAGGAGCAGCAGTCGAGTCTGCTGCTGGCACGACAGGCGAACAAGCTGTTCAACGTCAGGTGAATACATCCAGAGCGGCCCAATTGGAGAGTAGCACGACGACGTACACCCTCTTTCACCCGCTCTATGCGTACCGCATGTCGTGGGTTCCCTGTTGACTGCTGCTGCTGCTGTGCTATCCCTATTGGCTGCTGTGCTAGAGTTGGCCGTCTCGGTGTACCCAATGCTGCCTCTTCGTGGGTTGATATAGGTAGGCCTAAAGTTCGCTACTAAAAAGTGTGGTATGCATATGTGGAATTGGATGTTACCTCCAACGCGAAAGATACACCGGCCGGCAGGTGCCTGCGGCTTCTCGTCAAATGACGAAGATCTGTGTGTGTGTGCTTGGTAAACTGTGATTGGTGTATGCTATGTACCGTAAACTGCGGAGTTTCCCCCCCCTAGCATAGATCCCCCCCCTCCCGAATACCTTTTCGGCCTGGAAGCATGGTTTCGTTGATTTAACCCCCGGGGTAGATCGTTTTCGACCAAAAAAAAAAAGATCCCTCCGGGTAATTCAATTTCCCCTCGGGGTACCAGTTCCCACGAGTTCCCCCCAGGGGGGATGTATTTCCCTTATTTTCTGAGTCGATTTTGTTGCATAGCGGAGCAGTGTGAACGGAGCTGGCGGGTACTCTCTGGAAGGCGGGCCCTTCCTCTTCTTGGAATTACTCGCGGGACGAGAAAAACACCCCCAGCTGCTGTCCTCCTTGCCGTCTCTTTTCTCTTCGCCTTCGTTGCTCTTACGTTCCTCCTTAATCTGCTTGTTGAACTGAACGCCTTATCCATGTCAGTTTCGCCACTCTCTCTGTGTGTGGTGTGTGGACCATCATTATGTTGCACAACCCCCCGGGGGGGGCTTCCCCCCGGGGTAGCGTTGCAAAAAAAATAAACTAACCCCCCCGCGGTACGTCATTTTCCCCCCGGGGGGGTTGGTTTCAGAAAAAGAAACGATCCCCTCCACGGGGTGGAAACTCCGTAGTTTACGGTAGTTGTTGCCGCTCCCCGACGCTCTTACTGCCACCAAGCGCTTGTGGACGGCGGGGAGAAGCGCAAAAAATTTCCCAGAAAAATGTGCAATAGGGGACGCAACTATGAGTTTATGTTTGCTCAAGAATTCTGGATTATTTTTCTGCAGGCAACCAAAGAAAAACCAAGACACATGAAACAACTTGAGAGCGCAGGTAAAATGCCGTCTTGCTCCCAACGTTTTCTTATCGGACTAACCCGTTGCAAAGTTCCCAAGATTGCCCTACTATCATTCCTATTGTTTCGGCCTCTGGTGCCTACCGTATATGACACAAGATGACACACCCCCTGGACCGATTTTCAAAGCTCGATTACTCCACGACGAAGAGGATGCATAAATGAAACAATACGTTTTCGAACAGCTCTCGACGAGACGGTTCCAACGCCGCCGTTTTCGGCGCTGTGACTCTTCCTGCTGTTGAGAAATCGAGCTTTGAAAATCGGCCAAGGGGGTGTGTTATCTTGTGTCATATACGGTAAACATATCTTACTCATAATAACCTACCTACACTTGGTACCTCGTCGTCGACCGACTAGACCCCCCCCATGCTCCCCCCTCTCTTGAGCGATAGGTGTGGGTGGGCGGGAAATCGATCAAATCCCAGGCGGCACCCCGTGTTTGCTGCTCCTCAAAGCTGCTATCTCTGCTACTCATCTCCTTGTCTCAAATACACTTGCTTGTCTCTCGCCCAGCGAGAGCACAAAAACTTTGTGACACCAAGGCTGTCTCTATTTTTCTTCGATCCCCGCTTTTCCGAATTCCAACACGCCTCCACAAACCATAGATTCAAATGCGTACTGAATCTTCACGATGATAGAGCAAGTCAGCCGCCGCCTTGCAAAACTTTTACGAGGGTCGTTCACTTGACCACCCCACAGCGACCTAGGCCTGCCTACTCCAAGCACTGCCAATCTGCTGTAGCACATACGCACGTCAGTCAACCTAAAAGCTACTCATCAACACCTTCAGACTTCAGTAGTGTACACCGACAACACATAGAACTCAGACCCCCCCAACAACCAACGCTGCGTATGCAGCTAGTCTGTAGCGCTACACCAACACCAACCTATGATAGCTGTCACGTGTGGGCTGTGAGTTAGCCGTAGAGCTAAACCGGTTTCTTTATTCTCCGGCCATCAATCGCCAAAGAAATGGAAAGAAGTAATTGAAACGATGATGCGAATCGCGAGCCGACGCGCCGAAATTCGTTGACGTTAGGGGTAGTATGTACGAGGGCTGACCGTGCTATTGTTACACGGACGAGCCGGCGAGACGGTAAACAATGTTCTTCGAAGTTTGCTTGCCCACCTCAATGCTGCTGCTGCTGCTGCTCCTGCTGCTGCTTACGCTCCAGGGAGACCGACCGGTGGCGGTGGTGAGGCACAAGAGCAAGACGAAGAAAGAGGTTGGCTCCCCGGAGGTGAGTGGCGGGGGGGGGGGCGGAGTCTCCAATGGTTTGCACGTGTTCGCTCTCGTCCATCACTGCTCCTGTCGGTTGGTATCACGCGGCTTCATGCCTCGCAAGAAGCGAAATGCCATTTATTGGGAAGCGATTTGTAGGGCGTTTGGAGTAATTGTTTAAAAGTGATTTTCAGCTGTGCGACGTTGGATGCTGCTCGAAACGCCCCCGTCTCCCGGAAGCCCAGGTCTCGTCCTTTGCCAGTTGTTTTCAGAGGAGCAAGGCGACAGCAGTGGTAGTAAAGAGACACTGGGACGCATGGCACCGTAAACTTGTTTTGTTTGTTCGTCTTGAAGCACTGCTGTCCACGTTGCCGTTCGAACGACAATCGTCCTCTAGGAAGATGCCGCGGGACGCAGAATGAATTGATCACAAGCATGGACGGTTACCTCGAGTTGACGCTGTATGCCATTTTCGCAAAGTCAGCAACCATTTCTCCAATGCCATCTGTGACATCTGTCTGTTTTCGTCCACTTCTTTCTTCTGTCTTGCCTGTCCTTTTTTGTCCATGTTTTAACCCGCCTTGTGTTGTATTATTTGTCCCATTTATCTGTCCGTCCATCCGTCTGAGGCAGCCAGTCTATTTGCAAGATATCGACTTCGCGACGGCAGGGGGGGTGGCCACGGCGGCAGACGTGCTCGTCAAGCAGGCGCGCAACCGAGTGCGCATCAACCGTCTCAAGGAGGGCCAGGCCAAGGCGAGAAAGACGATACAGAGTTCGATGTTCCGGTTGATGGGTGGGACTATCAATACTGAGTAGTTGAACTCAACGAGGTGTTGCGTACTAGACGCCGGTTTTGGAAAGGAAGGTAATGTCCCTCTCTCTTGCTGACGGTTGTGCGGAAAGGGTTGATCGATTCCACAACCGCCGCCCGTGCCGTGCGCACACGAGTACTCCTAGGACGGGAAATGCGAGGGCAGGCAGCAACTGATGGCGTTGCATGCGGTGTGTTGGTGATGATGACGTTATATTTTGGTTCTTGCTGCGTTGCGTTCTGGCTGCTTGCTCTTCGCGACCGGTTCCACGTTTTTTTTTTTTTTTCTGCTTTTTGGGTGTTAAGTGTGTTTGGCTGGCGGCCGGTGGCTGGCGGCCGGCCCAACCGCCGGTCGGCAAACAAAACAAAAACTAAAAAACAATTTCCGTTTCGCGCGTGCGTGGCCAGGGCCGACACACCGAGCCGGACGAGAAGGGAGACGAGAAAAGGCTCAAGCTCACAATCCGGATGATGCTGGGCGTCAGGGTGGCGGTGGGGCGACAGTCCAACCCGCTCGACCAGCCCGGAGCGGAAATTTCGGAGGAGGCGTTTTCACAGGCGGGTAGTTGCCTGCGATGACAGTTTCGTGGTGGTGTTGACGATGGCAGTTTCGTGGTGGTAGCGTTGGTAGGGGTGGTGGGGATATTATGGTCGGGGTGGTGGCAGTGGAGATTGTGGTGGTGGTGGGGGTGTGGTGCTGTTGTTGCTGCTGGAGGTGGTGTTGTCGTCGGTGTTGTTCACGTTGCTGCTGGTGTTCCTCAGCTGTTCCTGTCGGAGCCGCTCTTGTCGGAGGCGGCAAGCGGGTGACGGCTGTGGCTTTGTGGCAGGAGAAAAGGTGGGAGACTCCTTCTCCCTTGCTTGACACGGAGATGGACCATGTCCTCCACAATCAACGCGATATTTTTCTTGAACAAACATGAAACAGGTGGACAAGTACACCTTTCCCCCGGCAGGGGCGACGGGAAGGATGGCAACGCCCTCCCACAAGCTTAACAAGACGTTTAAGTTCAGGGACTACGCGCCGAAGGCCTTCAAGAAGCTCAGGCAGCACTTCGGCATCGAGGAGGTGTGTGTTGTTGTTGTTGTTATTGTTGTTGTTATTGCCTTCACATTAAAAGCCGTTCCGGCCTCCGTTCAGTACCTTTCTAATGTCCGTACTGGTCCAACTGACGCGAACGTCTTTCCGTTCCGTGGTGTGTGCGTTTTTATTTTCAGCGTTGACCGCGCTTACCGGCTGACCAAAGTAGCAGTGCCGTTGAAAACACAACATGGTTCGAAGGGTCATGCTCTGGGGTCTGTGTGTGTTTCCTCACGTCTACGAAAGCTGACTTTGTAAGATGAGCGGCGGGCGTGTAATGAAGTCATGCTTGTGAGTTGAATCTCAAGGCTTGTGTCGCGGTCGTAGCTATGCGGGCATGACATGTGGGTCGCGGCAGCGTGCGCTGCTCGCGGAAAATTCGCACGGTTTGCGGGATCATGTGCTGGTGGCGGTTTCGTGTGCGGACAACGATGATGTGCACGGTTTGCGTCGTACTGTGCGGCTTTTACGGTACCGCACCGTGTGCGGACTCCCGAATCCCTGCACATGAATGTACCGTGGATATTCTCTGCATTCGTTCAGTCCCGTGCTTTGGGGTAAACGCCTTTGTGGACGCCATTCCTTTAATTCTCGCTGGATGGGTGGGCACGGACGACGAGGGAACTGAACAATGATCGCAATGTGTTTTATGTTTTGTCAACGCGAAATATGTGGAGACTTTCAAACTGCTCGTGCTCAATCCGCGGTCGCTGCATGCATGCCCAACACCCTTACCCCGGTTGCAACTGGACAACCGGCTCCTCCATTTCGGGAGATCAAGAAATGAGTCCCGCCGCCTCCCGTAACCAATCCTGCCTTTTTCTCTTCCATGTCATGACCGTCCAAGATTTCAGGGGGCAGAAAATCTCCGACTACGTTTGAAGTCAGTCGACCCTCCCGACTCGTGTCTAGCGTTGGACTGCTGTAGTCGCCCGTTGGACCGAAAGGGGCCAGGACTGCATCATTTCCTCGCACAAGCTGACGTTCTTCGACAACTCCCCCGCCGTGCTGTGTGTGTGTGTGTGTGTGTTTTTTTTTTTTCGTGTAGTCAGCGTACATGCTCTCCGTGGCCGGCAACTACGACTACCTGGAGCTGATCACCAACTCCAAGTCGGGCAGCTTCTTCTTCTACTCTCACGACCAGAAGTACATCATCAAGGCTATGAAGGTAGGGAGGACGTACGTACGCGTACTTTTTACACCCTGTCTTGCCATGAAGAACGAACCGCTCGAGTTCGATTCCAGGTATCCTAGTGTATGTCAGGCGTCGTTCTGTTGGGGTGCTGCCTTTTTTGGGGGGGGGGGGAGGAGGGTTCGCCGGTTTCCCATCTTGTGTTTTGTGCTGTGGTCGGCCGCACCCCAACCTACAGCGATATTTTTGCCAGGCAGCGCACTAGTTACCACTACTTGTCTCGGCACTGGGCCACACACCAGCAGTTTATTTCCCTCCCCCGCCTCGTACGGCCTCGCAGCGCTCAGGAGCGGCAGGTGTCTCGGAGGGCATATCATTATACCGAAGAACGCTTTCCCAAATCGTTCATGTTATGTGGGCGATCGCGCATTGTCAGAGAATGACGCTCTCGCGCTAAATAGCGGTCCAATCTCAAGCCAAATCAGCGTGAGTTCCCCCCGAGGGAGACGTTGGAAATGCTCCCAGATCGCAACCAGACAGCAGTGTCGTCCCCGTGTGTCGGTACCAAATCTGTTTTGCTTTGTCTCCTTACTTTTTTTTTGCCTTTCTCGACGCCACGCGGCGTGTGCTCTTCCCGTTTTTTGTTTTGACTCCTGCTCCTGCTGCTGTTGTTCTTTCCCGCACGGTATCCACGAAAAAACTCAAAAGCGTGCGGAGGCGAAGTTTTTCCGCAAGATCCTGCCCAAGTACTACGCACACCACCTCGCCCACCCCGGGTCGTTCCTCATCCGCTTCTGCGGGATGTATCTGGTCAAGAATGGCCACAAGAAAATTCCGTTCATCGTCATGAAGTGGTGAGACGCGGTTTCTGCGGGGGGGGGTGCAAACGTGTGGGTGGGCCGTAGGCAGTCTGGTTGGTCTGTCCGCGTCCCTTTTGGATTGTGTTTAGTTTTGGATGCACCTATGAGGTTCGTAGGAGGACCCCCCGACTGACTCCCTTCTCGTTGTGTAGACGAGAAGAACATCATCAATCGGCTGGCTGGCTGGCAGGCTCCGTGTGTGTGGAGGTCCGCACAAGTTTTGTTCTGCCGTCGCCGTACGCCTTGCCGGTGCTGTGAAGGAAGTACCTTGTCTTGTCGCACGGTGGGTTTGAGCGACTGCACATGCCCCGCTCAAATTCATTCTCTCTCTCTCTCTCTCTCTCTCTCTCTCTCTCTCTCTCTCTCTCTCTCTCGCTCTCTCTTTCTCTCTCCTTCCGTATCCGCTCAATCCACGTGACGTGAACAGCGTGGAGGGGGACACGAACAAGACGATACATTCCAAGTACGACCTCAAGGGGAGCAGCCTGGGTCGTTCGGCCAAGGAAGGGGAGAAGGTCCTCAAGGATAACGACCTAGACGTCAAGTACGGGAAGATACACCTCGGCTCCCAGAAGGCCGCGTTTGTCGAGGTCAGTATCCCCCCCCCCCCCGATTCATGTATTATGTGCGAGCAAAAGGGAACGCCCCCCCCCTCCCCCCCCCCTCCTTCCTTGCTGTTACAAAAACCTTCATGCCTGGGTTAGGAACTGTGCTGCTGCTGCTGCTGCTGCTGCTGCTGCTGCTACGCAATGAGCTCTCGCGAGCATCAACTGTTGCATGGTATATGTTTGTCCGGTGTACGGCATGTTGTTTCATCTCGGGTTGTTCGATAGACGGATAAACCCGGTTGAATTACGAGCCGCCTTGCTGCACGCACGCACGTCAAAAGGCGCCTGATTAGTCCGCCGAGCGTTGCTCACTCGCCGTTCGTTTGTGGCGCACCCCGCTGGAGACTCAAGTGGGTTGCGGCGAATGAGGAACACTCAGCGGATCGATCATCAGGCGCCTTTCGGTGGTCGCGCGTATGCATAGGGCAAGGCGACTCTTGTGATCCAACCGGGTCTATCGTACAACATTTTTTTTTTTCATTGCACCCGAGCCCAACGTGTGTGCTGTTTCCTGACACCTGACTCCCCGCGCGATTCAATGCTCCAACCTCACGCGGCACCTCCCATCTGTTGTCTTTATTGTTGTCTTTTTATTTTGAAGAGGCTGGTCTCTCGAAACCTATTGTAGTAACAATTGCAGTTTTCTTTTTTTTTGTCGGCACACTTTGGGGTCCATTCCATGCTCACTTTTGTTTTCTCGAACCACGCTAATGGTCGCACTACCCTCTCGTTGAACCTGGTACGCGTAGGGGACACAATTGCGGGAGGGGAAAATGATTTAACAAGCACCCTCGACATCATTTTCTGTTCACGCCCTCCCATTTTCTCTCTCTCTCTCTCGCATCACGCTCACAACAATTACAACAATATAAAAAATATTATATTATATATATATGTATTTTTTTCACAGGCCGCGAAAGCTGACGCAGAGTTCCTGTGCAGCGTGAACGTGATGGACTACTCGATGCTGACGTGCATACACGACTCGTCAAGACCGCCGGACGAGGAGGCCGTTCGACGCGATTCCATCGAGCCCCGTTACTCTACTTTGTGAGTTCGTTGCTGCTGTTGACGTTGATGCTGCTGTTGGTGTTTGCTGCTGCTGCTGCTGCTGCTGTTGTTGTTGTTGTTGTTGTTGTCGGTGGTGGTGGTGTTGTCGCTGCCTTATGTTTTTCGTGTTTTTAGGAAAGGACGCTCATTGCGTGCGGGCAGAATGAGCGACGCGAGTCCATGTTCCCCTTCCTCCCCCCCGCTACCGATTTGATTCGCTGCTTCCTTCCTTCTTTTGCACCATACTACTCCTCGCGTGCGTTGTACAATGTATAGTGTACAACGGTGTTGTTTTCGTAGAAAAGCGGTTCGAATCTCCCGTGTTTTTTCTTCTTCATCATCATCCTCTTCTTCTTCTTCTTCTTCTTCGTCTCGTTAATCTTCGACAAAGCGGCTTCGGCAACCTTATACGAAGCCTTTCCTGTCCTTGCGCTTGGATGTCTTTCACTTTCACTTTTGACTTGCGAGAAAAAACGCCCATGGACGTACGCTCACCCCCCCCTTACGCCCCCGCCGCCACTGAGAATCGCACCTTGGCGGATGACGAGGCAAGGCGGAGACCGAGCTACAAATCTGGGGCGCACACAAGCTCCGGCGCCCCATTTCATTTCCGTGACCCTCCCTGGTCGAGAATTTTTTTTCACGCCCGACAGCAGCAGCAGCAGCTGCGTTTCTCCTCTTACCTACACTCCCCACCCCCTCCACTCGCTTGAATTATCCACAGCAGAACACGGGCCCCGCCCGTTCTCTCCATTTTTTTTCTTCTTCAAGTTTTGGCCGTTTTTCAGGTTCCCCACCCGAACCACTCCGAAATTCGAAGTTTCGAAGAATTTTGTTTCGTTTGGAAGAAACGGCTCTTGTTGAGTACTTACGGACGGTGGTATCCTAGAGACCAAGCGAGGGAGCCCCGCACTATCATTTTCCCACCCACCCCCCTCTAATATTGTGATGTTGGGGTCTTCAGTTACACCTTCGCCGACGAGGCTAAGGACCGGACGACGCCCGAGTTCGAGAGGATTCCGAGTTCGGGGGATGCTTCGGCTCCCGCTGGGGCTACCGCTTCGAGAGAGGCGCAGGAGGGGAGGGGGGATGCGGGGGCGGCGACGGCGGCGGCTGGAGGGGACGATACATTGTGAGTGTGGTGGTGGCGGCGCTGCGGTTGGTGGTGCTGTTGGTGATGGCGTTGTTGCTCGTGGCATGTTGATGCGGTTCCAGGCAGGTGATGGTAGTGGATGGGATATTTGGTAACCAGGATGGCCATGGGGGCAAGAGTGTCAAACATTTTCTCTCCCACATGCTGTATTGTAACCATTCAAGACAGATTAGTCCGGGCGCTTCAGTTTGTTTGAGTGTGAAAGTGTGTAGCTGCGGGATTTCCAAGTCTCTCTCTCGTGTGAGCACGTAAGCACGCGCCACCCGGCCCGAGCAGGTTTTTGTTTGTGACCACTCATCTTTCACTTACTACGCTATAGCATACATTCACAGTTTTTTTAACTTCGGGTTGTCGAGATAGTCAAAGAGGCAAGTGACGAAGCGTTTTGATCAAACGCCCCGTGCTAGACGTTATCGGTCCCTGGTTGGCGGCTTGCTCTGCACCAAGGCTTTAAAGGCGCACCTCCTGCAATGGTAGGCCTACCTTAGACATCCACAAGTTACACCTACGGTGCCCCCCCCACCTCTTTAACCCGGGAAAAGCGCACCTCCAGGAGTGGTAAGCTTACCTTAAGACATCTACTAGTTAAACCTGCGGTGCCCCTCCCCCCCCCCCCGCCCATTCCTACATGTAACCCGTGTTTCTTTTCTATGACCCACCCCGAAAGGAGACAAAACGGGGCAGCGCGAGATGAGGACGAACCCCCCCCGTTGGGGCCCGGGGGGGAATCGGTCGTCCGGTACCGAGCAGACGGAGGCATCAAGTCCGAGGTTGACGGGGGGGCTCCGGGAAAGGACATCTACTATCTGGGCATCATCGACATCTTGCAGGTAAAAAAAAACAATAAAAATGATGGTACTCACAGAACATCGGCAGCGGCGTATGACGCGCTTCAGCAAAACCTGTTGTTTGTTGAATGCCTTGGCACAGATTGAGTGGCCTCTGCTCAGCCGGTACGTGGTAGAGTAGGTGTTTAGAGCAAGATCAGAGGCGTGCTTACGGTAGGGCAAATACCCCCCCCGTGCTTGTCTCCATGGTCGTGCTGTGGCTGCGAGAAGTCTCGAGGTTCCATATTGATGAGCAAAAATAAGAAAATGAAGAAAATTGATGACCGACTTTCTTTCCGCTTCTCAGGAGCAGCAGCTCGTCCAGCTCGTTCGTGCTTCTTTGTTCTTGTTGTTGTAGTTGTAGGAAAGCAATAAATAGTGCTGTAGATGGCGTGTTTGGAACATGGTCGAGAGTTGTGAGAGTGAGGTTTTGCAGCCCACTCTGTGCTACGGATACATAGCTTTTGAGTGCCGAGCGGTGTGTCCACCCACAAGAGCGAGTACTCACGATGTTACGTGAACATGCGCGATTCACTGTGGTACATAGCACGGCTAACATATTCGCGGTTTGCTGGGGTGGTCGCGCTGCGGCTGCTGCTATTATTGTCGTTGGTCGTGTCGGTCGGGAGTCCACCCCCCCCCGGCAATTCCCAATCGCCTACCCCCTCCCGCTCCGTGTCCACCCGTGTGGCGGCAGCAATACAACACTCGCAAGCACGCCGAGACGTTCTGGAAGGGGCTGACCCACGACCGCTATGAGGTATCCTGCGTCGACCCGAAGCTCTACTGCGAGCGATTCGTCGATTTCTTGGACCACCACATGGAGTAGACACGTGAACACTTTTGGTAACAACACCGCGGACAAATAATAACGAGTATTCTAAGGTTAAAGTATGTAGCAGCAAGCGGTTGTTGCTTGTTTGGTTTACGTATTTATTTTAGTTACACAGCAGTCATCCAGCCCGCTTTTGCTTGGATTGTGGTCGGTTGAGGATTGTATCACTACTTTCTGCTGGTGTCCTGTGCAATCGATCTTCTTGTGACTGTTCTCGTCTTCGGCGTCCTCAAGTTTTTGGTACCAGTAACGTAAAGCTTCTGGTCGCCGGTTCTGGCGTCTGCTCAGCGTCCTCTTGGGCACTCACACTTTGCGCTTACATATTCAACGTAGCGTTACCTATGTGCCACGAGTAGTGTGTACTTCAATTCAACACTGGTGCCAACAATGTTTCGTAATGGACAGATGCATGGACCCATGATCCGCAGCGTTTTATTTTGTCTGGAACATAACCTGCCACGCGTGCGTGCGATGTGGCGTTCTTGTTCTTTTGCGTGTGTTGTTTGTCATCCCACCATGCTGTGGTGTCTGCTGCGTGGCTTTGTGTGGCGGTTGTTGTTTGCCGCGTGGTTTGTGTGGCCGAGAATAAGAAGATATTGATACCTTTGATACTTGTGCTACATAACAAGCAGCTGTGATGTAGTTGCATTTGCCCGCGACCGAGGGGCTCTCCAACATCTTGGACAAAGCCGCCGGGCGTTGTTGAAACGAGCTAACTCTTGGAAACATAACGTCTGTATCTACACAAATCCATGCGCGGATTTGGGGGCGGCAGTGTGACCACGTACGGCGTCCACTTCAGTTGGACCGTTCGGTGCGGATGTTATTAATATAATAGGAGGTCTACTTAGCAGATGAGTGAGGCAGACCGGAACGAACGGTGTGTTTGTTTGTAGTGAAAACACCACACATTTTTTTTTTACATTCATTCGGTTGAAACGAAACCCACAACAAAAAATAAATGAAATGAAGCTCTCTCGTCGCCAACTTGAATTTCGGCGACGCAAGATGTTGTTGTGTCCTTGGGTCGTTGATTTTTTGTTTCAGGCGTTCGCTGACTAAAGATATGCATAAATTATTATTTACCACCACAAGAAGAAGCGTCCCCGCACGCTTCATCTGTGAACAGATTATCGGCGCCCGCCCATGTTTTCGTTTTCCGCGGGCATTTTTTTTTTGTTCGAGTATTGGTTGGAACCACGCCTTCCTTGTACCCAAAGCCACCACGTGTGATCGTGTTGCTGTATGGATAGATAGGATGATGCTGTGGTTTTCTCGTTTTGCTCTGCGGCGGCATTTATTGTCTGCTGTTCCGAGACCCTTAAAACACAGCGCGGGATTGTCTGGACACCACAATTTGTCCACAACCCAAGATATTAATTAGGAAGCAACGCTCGTCATCCCGCACGGCACAGCAGTATAGCGGTGCTCTCGTCCACTTGCTCGTGCTGTTTGTGCACAGCACTCGACTACAACCTGACGCGATCTGTCGTCGGACCCACCCGCGTCCAACCCATCAATCCACACGATACCGCAACTAATTGTCCGTTTTCACCGCCTCAACAGACATACTGTATATAAATAAATACTCCGGCGGCAGCAGTCCTTCCTGCCATTGTCCCTGAACCCTGTCCTACACTGCGGTCAAAACTTCGTGTGCATCCACCCCTTTGCCTCGAACGGGGTATCGTTCGCGGAGCGGTCACTCTTTGGTGTTGGTTGGTTCCATTTTTGAAGACGGCGCACACGGGCGGGCCACCGTAAAACACGGCAGATTACCCAAGACATCCAAGATTCTATCAGACTGCAGTAGTAGTGTAGGGTAACGATCACTGGATGTCGGTATTCGTTGATCATGCACGCCTATGCGCGCCTAGGTTTGCTGGTAACGACACTCACACCTATGTAGCTCCATCCGAGGTGCCGGAGCAGGAAGGCCTCTGCTGGGCGAGGGGCATTCGTTGTCGAGGGGCATCAGGGGGCGTATAAGGGAACCAAACGTCTATTTTTCGTCACCAGGCCCTCTCCTCTTGAGAAAATATCAAAATATCGGATTAGTTCCTTCTCCGTCTTCACTTCCGAGCTCATTTCATCGTCAGCAAGAGGCCCAAGCGAGTATATTCACAGATAATTATGCACATGAGGCCAAATCTACAGGCGCGAGTGACGCGTTCCCTTCCCCAGCAAGCAGCAGTCCTACGGCCGCGCCGTCAGTCGTCGCCACCACCCCAAATAAACACCCCGGATGCGGGGATTCGGAGAACAAATTCGGTAAACCGGCAAATAACCTACTCTTTAGTAGGGTAATGATGCTCCGCCCGAAATTAACCGAAACCACACACACCCGCCGGAAGAGACGAAAAAAGATTGGAGGGATAGAACGCTGCTGCTGTACGCGTGCGCCCTCACACATGTCAGGTCCCTCCTTCCTCCTGTCCCCTCTTGCTCCGACACTTACTTCAGCAGCTCGCAGCAGCAGAGGCGATCAAACGTCGCCAACGAAGACCGTTCGTTTTCCCGAACACCAAACGCCGCCGCCCGCCGCCCGCCGCTGCCGCCGGCTTCATGTTCGAACGAACGTGGTGGTAGTGCCCCGCCGATGCGCGCGGTTGTTTGTTGATCCGAGAGCGCGCAGATTTTTGCCTTCGAGCAGCACAGCAGCAGTGAGTGACGAGGAGCGCGACTGACCCGCAAGGTTTTTCCCACCACATCTTGACAACGAACGATCGATGTCGCCCAGCGCGCTCAGCTTCGCGGAAGGAAACCTCGCGTCTCTTCAGGCTTGCCAGCAGGTGGCGCTGTCGTCGCTTCACAGGCTGACCGCCGTATCGGGAGTGCTTCAAGTCCAACGGAGGTGTTTCGACATAGTGTACCGAAAGGTTCAATATGAGGCAAGTAAGAGACAAAAACAAAAAAACAAATATGAAGCAAGTAAGAGCACGGCAAGTCCAATAATAATAGGAGATCAGGGGGAGCCCTGCGCCCCCTTCTTATCCACAATATCTGGGTCGTTTTATTGAGTTGGTCTTCATTAAGGAAGCGTGTAGTGTCGCCGCCTATTTTGGATGGATCCTCTTCAGCGCTCTAGACGTCACACGTATCTTTCTCGTGTACTACAATATTTACATCAGATCCCAGTCAGTGATAAAACACAGACGACCAGAAGGGACCACCCATCGTTGGATCAAGCTGTTTTCTGAAGGTTATTTGCACATGCAATGCGTGGTGGGTCTTCGCATCAAATAGACTACAAGTTGCGGTTCCGGTCTTACGCCGTTCCGGCCTCTTCTGAGAACCTGAAACATATGCCGTACTGTAGTACCGATTCACCTGACGCGGACGCCCCCCTCCTGTGGCGGTAGTCAAATACACTTCAAGCAGTGGAGGATCCAACAGCAGCAAATAAGAATATATATGTAATGTAAAATGGGTAGTCTTTCTGTGTTTTACTTTATGTTTCCTAATAAAAATGTAGAGGTTGTGTAGAGCGAACAAGACACAGCAAACCACCACCACCCCGGCCACCAAACAACAGGCAGTCCACTCACTGCTGTTCTGTGATGTACATACCGGTCACGTTGTACTCCTATGTTGCAGCATAGTGGTATGTATGTGTCAAGGAAACAGTGGGGCCCCATCACTTTCCCCGCTCGGTGCGCCATGGTTACAAGTGACAGCGACCGAACAGTTCACGATAATCAAAGACGCAAGTCAACAGTATGATGCATGAAGTAGTGTAGTACACCGTCCCAACCGCCGTATTCCTCCTATGTTGTAACCTGAAAACCGGCCTGTGTACCCAACCCGTTCCGCTGCATGCAACAGATCAACGCCAAGTCGGGTGAGCTGTACGCTGCCCTGGATCGGAAGCTGCTTGCCCTGGACGAAGTGCAGGTATATAGACTAATAAAATAATGGCAAAAGCAACGACAATACATAATAGTTTATGGTTGGGAAGGACAAGTTGGGAAGGAAGTAAAGCATAGGCCGTATTTTCTGCTGTCGTCCAGTTTGTTGTTTGTGTCAGTCCGTTGTTGCGAGACAAAAGAACTGCTTGTTGTTATGCTTTGATGAATACCACATCAAGAGCATGCAAGTGTTGGCGGTGTCACCTTCCTAAATGTGGAGTAGGCACGTTATTGCTCTCGCTTTTCCGCGTCTCCAAACAGACGCGTGGTGACCGAATGGTGAAAATCGTACAGAAATACAAACCCTAAACGAGCGCCGCCCCCGTCCTCCCTCGCCCTTGCCGAAAACAAACGAATGGACGACAAACCGAAAAATCCCGCATCGTTGTCGTCTAGAATCGAACGGGCAAGACGTTAGCCGACGACGACGTCCGAAGGCTGATCGTCGTTACTGCGGACTGCCAGGTCGTCGAGGAGACAATCAAGTACGTATGTATCTGCAGCTTCTGTACATCATGCATTTTTATGCCCCGCCGGTGTTCGCTTTTCGCGTTGTTTGGAGGTGTGTGTATCGCCGCCGTGTGCTACCCCTTGTTTCGAGGTAGAAGGCAAAGGCAAAAGCGTGTCGCCCTTGTCGGTGCGGGGGGATGCGTGTTTTCTGTCGAGAGACAACTGGTTTCCTTCTGGGCCTTTGGTCGTTTCGATTGCCGTTTCGTTCTTGTCCAATCCTACGACACCACCTACGATGAGTGGAAGACGCTCCCTGAGTTTTGTGCCAAGTCACAGGTTCAATCCTGGACCGGAGTTTAACAGAACGTTAGTCCGCATTTTCAGCACACAACACACACGGCGCTGACAGGAAGGCTTGTCGTTCAGCCCGGGGGGTCGGGGGCAGGGTGGTAGAGTGATTGCCTTCAGTGACCTGATCCCCCGTGTGTCTCGATCGTGTCCACGTGCCACCAACACACGCCATCACCTATTTCTTCGTTTCTCAGTGGCACGCATCCCTCCCCCCCCTATCGTTTCTGCGCTGCCTCTACTACTACTGAATGTGCCTCGCAAACGGGGGGAAACGACGCGTAACTGATGGGACAAACGCCTGACGCAGGAGCATTGAGGCAGGCATCGAAGACCTGCACAGCCTGAACCAAGGAACCCACGCCGTTTACGAGAACAACAACAACGGCAACACCGCCAGCAGTGGTAGCAGCACCGGCAGGAGAACCGGCAGCGGTGGCGGCGGCGGCGGCGGCGACACCCCTGCAGTCGGCGGTAGCTGCATGTTTCTCACCCCTTCCGCTCGAACCGTCGACGCCACGGGCGGCTTGGCGCCCGCAGCCCCGGGTACCCACGATGGCGGCCGCTGGAGCGGTTCTCAACACCAAGTTCGCGTTTCAGGGGGGCGGCCGTGGGAGGGAGTTCTGGGTTACAACGACAGCGGCAGCAGAACCCGCCCAGGACGTGGCGGCGGCCGCGGCGGCGGCGGTTGGCTGGTGTTTGAGCAATGTTGGGGAGGAGAAGCTCCTCCGAACCACGGGGGGGCTGAAGCAGCTGCTCCGACCAAGGCGGGGACGGTGTCAGTGGGAACGTCACCGGCCGCGCGAATGACGAGTTCGCGTTACCAGCATCAGCAGCAACAGCAGCAGCAGCAGCGGCACGACCACCACCACCACCACCACCGCAGGTACTAAAAATAGCCCGTGCGTTTTGTTCCGGGCTGGGCAGGATTTTGGACTGCAGGCTCTCGTGTTTGGCGGACCCCTTGGCTTGGAGGTAGGGGGGGGTCTACCCTGGTGATTCATGATGGTGTTGGTGCGGTCATATGCGCGATGATGGGGGCATCCCCCCGTCCCGTATCCCCGGCCTCGGTGCACGAGGCGTTTTCGCCATGCGGCGACACTAGTTTGTCGACGCCAAGTTCGACCCTGAACACGCTTTCATTGACCAGTCTGACCCCCCCCCCCCCCCTTCCCTCATGCGCAACCACCACACCTCCCCTATTGTGTTCGACCCCCTTTTCAGGCCCCGTGGCAATGCCTTGGAACGCCAACGCCTGCTCGGTCGAGGAGGCACCGTGAGTGATTTCGTGGAGAGGGGGGCGGGTAGCAGGGATTGTTGCGCACCAACACGAAAGCGTTGTAGAAGAATTGATTGGCCCGTGCAGCACAACAGGGGGGGGTGGAGGATAAGGAGGCGTTTCGGTGGCCGCGGGTAGATGGTGGTAGACAACAGGTGCGTCGTGATCTCTGTCTTGTGTTGCTGTCGCCGTTGCTTGAGTTGGCCGGGGTTTTTTTTTCTCACTGTGAAGAACGATTTCGTTTTGTCATTCGCAGCGTGGGTCTTTTTTCCTAAACCCAAGCAGCTCGGCCCGGCGTCCCTCTTGTGCACGTGTGCCCCTCCAACACGCGCACACGTTCTCGCCCGCCCACGTCATCACCACCCTGCTGTATTTTGGAGCAGAACCCCCCTCAACAGCGCACTCCGTTCAGGCTCCAAGTACCACATGGACATCATCCTCGTCAACAGCAGCAGCGGCGGGTGCAACTAGAGGACACGCTGCAGCGACAGCAACACCAGCAACACCAGATACTCCGGCGACAGCAGCAGCAGCAGCAGCAGCAGTGGAGGTTTCAGCACGCGCAGCAGCCCCGACAGCAACAGCAGTCCAGGCAGGAGCATAGCCGGCAGCATGCCGCCCTTAACGGTCACCGCGCCCCTGAAACTTCTCCGCGGAGGTCGGACAACAAGCGGGAGGGGGCGGAGGCAACAACGGGACGCCTTCTTGCCGGCAGCAGGAGCGGCGACGGCGGCACCGGCACACGCACAGCGGCGATCCCGCCTTCCGCCGTCATGCAACGCAACGGCACTCCTGAGCAACGCAACAGCACTCCTGATAGGGCCCGAGGCGCAGAAAGAGCCTGTCAAAGCGTGGCGGAACCGGGTGGATGCGGCAATGTGGGCGGGGTGCAGGGGCACGGGCGTCGGGGAGAAAATACGGTGGAGGTGAAGCCGCCGGCTCCGT